ATTCATAAATGGAAAAACCAAATGGTGTGTGACAAAACTTTTCCTGGGAGAGATAACACACAGGTCTACTCCCCAGACAGGGATCCCACAAAAGACACAGATACAAAGCCCAACTTGGTGAACTAATGAGTTTTACCGAGTTTACTTATGGGAGTAAGTGAGGGGTTACTTACAAGAACAGAAATGACTCACCAAAGATCACTCAAGCATGGGTGACAGCTCACAGAGCTGGGAACCTGGAGCTTGCTGCAGGCAGCTCAACAGGTTGGAGAGTGTCCTCTCCAAGTGACTCTGGTGTAAACCTCTTCCAGGAACTTGGTCAGATCTCAGAGTCTTCTTTGACATTTAGCTTCCTACTGTCTTAGGAGGACTCTCTCAGTTCTTTTATTTACTCTGGCAGAGAAGAGCCTAGTGAATCTGGTCAGTTTCAGGGGCCTCCTGAAGCTACTTTGAGTGGTTTCCCTTCCCATTTAAAGACATTCTCTGCCACAATGTTTTGATCTCAGAGGGAACCATAACACAAGACCAGATGAAAAGCACAGGTTCTCCATCTTGATGGGTAGTTGCTTTGAAAAATGCTCTTCTAAAGGATGGGGTTGGTGGGATGGATCTTATTGATATTCCAAAGCTCCAAATGTATATAAATTATCAGAGCAGAGGGAACCCTGCCCAGGAGAGAGAAAGAAGCATACAGACTTCATGAGCATCCCCTGTCAAGGGATGTTTGAATACATTTTGCATTTTGTTGTCACCTTCTTGCTCTTGTTTTTACTTATATGGTTCCCTCCTATCAGCTCTAGGTCTATGACGGAGGATAACTCAAGACACACACATACACACACAATTTGGAGAAGATTTCAATACTTCATGAAAATCTGCAAGGATTCTGGGAACCCACCAAATACAGTATCAAAAAGAAATGATTCGGTGGTGCTCAAGTCTGTTAAGAAAAACGAATGATTGTTTTCAAAGAAAGTGTGTTAAGTGTGTGTGGGGGGGGTGACTTCTATTGATCAGAACCTGGACTTCAATGTCAAACAAGAGAGAGAATACAAAATGAGCATCTATTACATTTTAACCAAAGGTTTGCTTCTGAGACAGCTGCAGCTAAACATTAACTGGGACGGAGCAGTAAATTACAGATTAAGATGCAATTATGCCTCCTATCTCTCCCTTTCAGGGTGAGAGCTTGTCGATGTGAGGGCTCCGATAAGGGAGCACCATGTGACAGGTGGTGTCTATTGTGGAAGCATGAAACTTCTGGAGCCTTTAGATTCTCTGTTCCCAGGAGGCAGAACCCCCATGCCTGTCTTGTTTCCATGCCCCCTGCATAGTCACGCATCTCTGAACAGTTAACACAATTTGATGAACACAAACTGAAAACCGTACCTGAAGAGGGTGCCAGCAGCAACCAATGGTTGTGTGGGGAAGAGGTTGAATCCAGCTCCACAAAACTCGCTAACTGGTCCTTTGAAAATGTTGCTGCAACTCTCCCCCCTACTCCAGGTCAACTTTTAGGTGGTTTCCAAATAGTCTAGGCCCACTGCTTCTCAAAGTCATAAGGTAAAGCTAAGACCCCTACCATTCTGGCACTTTAGCGGATATCTTCTGGGTGGGCTCTCCAGAAATCTGAAACATCAGACCCCATCCAAAAAGTTCTCAAAGAGGAAGTGTGAAGGGAATAATTCTCCAAATATCCTCCAATAGACGATGTATCGAAGACTGTTTAGTAAATGTCATACATCATAATTATTGTTCATTTGGCCTATGGATCTTTGCAACAGAATCACCTAAAATGTGTGTTTTAAGAAAAATACATTCAGATGCCCAGAAATCATCCTAGACCTAGCGAATCCCAGCTATAGGAGGCTGGTGCCCAGGGACCTGGATTTTTAACACCTGCCTTCTGTGATTCTAATGCCCCTCAAGTCTGGGACTGTATATCTGAGAATACCCTGATTTTCCACAGGGAATGGCTAAGGACAGCTTTCTTTTAGCATCATCTAGGAATTTTCTTTATGTTCCCCCAACCCACCTCTCTCCATCAAAGGAATGTAGGATATGATTATCCATTGTTATTCCACAATTAAGGAAAATGATAACAACATCCCAGTTGAACAGAGATGTGTTCAGGAATCCCAGTTTCACTATTAGCTATTTGGGGCCAGTTCAGAGTTTCTTTTCACAAAACCATCCAGGCCTTTTCAGAATCAAGAATCTGGGACATAGAGGCATGCAGAGAAGTGTGGAACCTGGTTCTTCAACCACCTTATGTCTAGTTAAAACAAAACCCATGGTAGCAGACCACTCCTATTCCACTCTAGATAAGAACAATGTAGTCAGGTCTGAGCCAGCCAAAGCCTGGGAACTTTCCCAACGACCTTTTCCATGTGCCACACACAGGACTTTGAGTTCTGCTTTAGAATCCTTCGAAGTCCTGGGTGAAAGTGATTCTAAGCCTTCCTTCCAGAGGCCAATGAGATATTCAGAGTGGGGTGGAGGAGAATAGCCTGATGCTGAATTTTCCCTGCCCTGCTGAATGAAGCCCTTTGAGAAGACAGGCAGGAGCTCACCACCATGTGTGGTGGCTTGGGCATTATTTATTGAGTGCTGCCCCCTAGAGGACTGGAAAAGACATGGCCACTTGGAGTCCCCAAGGCTAGGAACCAACCCCATGCCCGCAGGCCATCTGCAGAAAATGAGGCCTTCACTCCAGTGGACTGCATTGAAGTCTTACATGCAGAGGCACAGAGGCTCCCAGGAAGCAAGTTATCGCCCCCTTTAGGACATGTCTGAAATAAACGAAGATCCATAATGCTGGAAACTGGATCCAAGAACAGAGCCCTGAAACTTAACTCTGACTTCTCCCAGAAGCGTAGAGAAGCCTGGAAGCAGCCAGATGGGGGTCCTCAAGCCTGAGGCCCCAAGGCCAGCAGTCTAGAGCTGTCATCCTTACAGTTTCCTAATGTGCTTTGGTTTTCTTTCTTTCTTTCTCCTGTCTTGTCCGTGCCCTTTACCTAAACCCTATTTGTAGTGTTCTCAGAAACCAACTGTATGAGGTCTAGTCCGCACTGGAATGGTTTGGTATGCCTGGAGAGCCGTAGGGGTGGTGACACTAGGAACTCTTTCCTTGCAGGCTCCGTGAGTGCAGATAGTGTTATTTGCCCTTAGATTAGTATTTTGGCAGCAACACAAACTGGAATCTCTGCTTGAGGTCCAAAATCCAGGCTTCCCACTTCCTTCATCAAATATTTGGGACTGGGAGTTGTTCTTTACAATTGGACTTTAAACCAGGAAAATGTAAATCTGGAGCTTTTAGTGATACGGATTTTCTCTTGAGCCTAGAAAAAGCAAACAGGGAAGGGAAAGGGAGAATGAAGGGAATCAAAAGTACCCCTTATGTGTGTTTGATGATGATGATGATGATAATGGTGGTGGTGGTGGTGGTGGTGTGTGTGTGTGTGTGTGTGTGTGTGTGTGTGTGTGTGATGCTCTCTGGCAGAACTCAAAGGCCTCTGACACCTTTGCAGTCAGGCATCTAAGACTAACCATGTGACACTCAGACTGTGGACTTCCACTGTAAAAATTTCTCTATAGCATTGCAAATCACTTCTGATTCAATTTTGTTTGGGTTTATCTCCGTGTAAATAACAGTTAAGTGAGAGTTACAGATTTTTTTCAAACACTGAATGTGATAAACAAAGCTAATGGCAAGTCCTGATAAGGAAAGAAACAATCCAGAAGAATCCTCAAGTACAAGCCAAGAAGAAAATGGCATAGTCAGATGTGTGTGTTCCTTGTAGCCCAGACTTTATATCTCTTAATCTGCAGGTTGCTAGGAAAGGGATTGCAACGTTAGCCAGGCGTGTTCTACTGAATCTTTATCCTGGTAAAGCAATGATACCTGGTGAACATAACAGTTGGGGCTCACCAAGCTGCACTCAGAAACAAAGATGCAAATGTTTCCCCAACTGTTCGCTTAAAAGTTAGCTTCTAAGCGCCTTTAGACACTTTCCATGCCTCCACTTAAAAATAGTTAACATAGTGCTATTTTCTTTCTGTCAACACTGCGGCCACATTTCCTTGGGGAAACATGAGCAGTAGTTACAGTAGCATTCCAAGAGGCCTTCATGTACCTGTATTATGTGCGGAAGCTTGAAGATGTGTTGGGTGGCCGGGGGAACAATTTCATTGCCTCGAGAAATTTTTCATTGAATAAAATCGTTCCTCGTCTTAAGAAAACTGAGAGTTATGGGCGGGGTGGGGGAGTGGGGGCAACAAATCCTTACCCAGATAGCAGAGGAGTCTGTATGGGACACAACAAAGGATCTGAGTAGTAAACACAAGGAGTATTGGGGGTTTGCTTCAGCTAGGGCTGACAGTGTGTGTCGCCGCCACACACTGCTGCCTCTAGAAACACATGGTTGAGCTCTCTACCCCAAACACAGTCAGCCACCCAAACTCCTCCTGCAACGCCATTGCAGGTGGCATTGTGTTGGATTCTGCATGTGTGGCATCAGTCTCATTTTGGGGGGAACAAGCATTTCCCGGGCTCTCTAGAGTTTCCCTCTCGGCAGAGACAGCGCGCCCTGAAGGGAAGGTTCTCCTTCCTCGGGTTGTGACACACCCGCAGCCCCGCACCCAGGTGCGCAGGGCAAGGAGGGAGGTGTGGGCTGAGAGGGGGCGGCGAGGTGCCAGGTACCTTAACTTTGAGCGCACGGCCGCGGGGTTGTGAGCCACCACCGCCCCGCCCGAGCCGGGTGCCGCGGCCCTGGGCTCTGCGCCGCGCGTCTCCGCCGCTGCCTCTTTAATCAGGAACACAGAAGGGGCGGGCCCTGAGCCGGCGCGTAATCGGATCGCTCTGCCGCGGCTCTGACATCCACATGCTGCTCGGCCTGAAAAGGCGAGGGGGGAGTCGGAGGGGAGGCAGAGGAGGCGAGCGAGGCATCAGCCCGCAGCCCGCCCCCGGCACATCCTCAGAAGCGCAGACACTCGGCCGGCCGCTGGGCGAGGTGGAGGTGAGGGCGGGCGCCAGCGAACTCGGAGAGCCGCTCGCACACTCGCGGGCGATCCCAGCCACCGCCGCACCCGCAGCAGCACCAGCAGCACCGGCCGTCGCCGCTTCCTGCCTCGCACTCCCCTCCAGAGACTGGCCAAGCGGGTGTAGCCGCCGGGGGAGGCTCCTGCTAAGGGAACCCGGCGAGGACAAGAGCCGGGAGGCTGACTGCCTCCCACTCCGCCTGTCCAGCGGTCGGTGTCTCTGCTCGCGTGTGTGTCCCGGGTGCCGGGGGAACCTGTGTCAGTTTGCGCCTCTGAGATCACACGGCTGCCTAGGGGTCGTGTAATGCCCAGGGCAAGTCTTGGCTTTCAGTTTTATTATTACTACTATTATTTTACGCTTGGCTTTCGGGAAACCCTCGTGATGTTGTAGGATAAAGGAAATGACACTTTGAGGAACTGGAGAGAACATACACGCATTTGGGTTTGAAGAAGAAACCGGTCCCCGCTTTCCCCTGCTTGCTCCCTCTTGGCTGATGTCAGGAGCTATCTCCTAGTGAGGTGGGGATTCCAGCAAGAATTAAAGGTGAAGACGGGCCACCGGGACCCAGGAGGGAAACGCTGATCATTAGAGACCTTTGCAGAAGACACTACAAGGAAGAAAATTAGAGAGAGGAAAAACACAAAGACATAATTATACGAGATTCCACAAACCTAGCCCTGGAGAAAGCCTCTTTCAAAAATGGATATGTTCCCTCTTACCTGGGTTTTCTTAGCTCTGTACTTTTCAGGACACAAAGTGAGAAGCCAACCAGGTAAGCCCCTCAAAGTTTTTCTATTATTTTTACATGGTTCCCCCTTTAAAGGCGACTGCTAATGCAGAGAGGCCACGCAAAACCGATCAGGAGGAGGCTCCCTCAATACTCAATAATTTAAAGGGAGAGAGAGCCGACCCTCTTTACACCACCAGGGCTCCTGTGCTAAACCCAACTTTTCTCTCTTGCTGGATGTGTGTGTGTGTGTGTGTGTGTGTGTGTGTGTGTGTGTGTGTTTTGTAACAGAATTTGGCGGTGTTCAGATGTCACATATGGACTGAATCAAAGGTTTAAAAATACTACAAAGCCTTTGCATTACAGTTTTGGGGATTTTTTTTTTCCTGTCTTGAAGCAGAACACATCTCCCTTGAGTTTCTTCAACCTAGCCAGTGAAATATAAATCACTTGCATTCCCTCCACTTAGCTACATTGAGCAATGTTAGCTGAAGGGCTTGTGGGGAAAGGAAGGAGTCTAGCTTTGGTTTTCAAATGTGTGTGTGGATTGTTTGCAGAATGGGTGGGTACATCTCAGAATCCGAGGACTGAAGCTAGGGGAGCAAGTTAGCTTGGGGCTAAGATGGGGCTTTCCCGTGGGCAATTGCTGGTCCCCACTCTCTCCTGAATCCATGTGTTCTCTGGGAAAACAAATCTTGTTCTTTAAAAAAATTCCTGAAAGATAAAAGAAACTGCATGCCCCACAAGGTCTCTCTGTCTTGTGAAGTGGTTAGAAACTTTTGAGTGGAATTTGTTCTCTTGAGCACTGTCAAAAAGGGTGTGTGGACACAGGCTGCAAAGATAAGCACAGTGGGGCCTAGGATAGTCCAGGGCCAGCTTTTGTGGAGTGCGGCAAGGGATATCTCTCTGAAAACAGGTCTCTGGTCTCAGGGAATGCGGTTCTTCCTCCCTAGGATTGCTCCAGGGTTGCTTTTCTCCGCTCTAAGACAGTATCTGGAGCCTCACAAAACTCTTAGCAGTTGCTGCTACAGGTGATTATGGACGGGATTCCATCTACCAAGGAAATGGTGAGGGGAAGAAGGAAGGAAGGTAAAGACAAAAACTCGGAGAAGTGCTTTTATCTCGAGACGCTTGGGAGGTGACAGGCAGCCGCAGTGAAGGGACTCACTCCCAACAGCCACCCTGGCATCCTCGCACTGTGCTTAGCCAGTCCTAAGGAGAAAGCTTAGTGCCTGCCAAGCTTCTTGTCCCTTCCCAAACACACACCTACAGCCACTTACATATGGGTTTTATTTTTTGCTATTTTGGGGGGTTTTTTTGGGGGGTGCCTTTGAGACTCAAGTCCAAGCCTTTACTGCTCCTCTGCGGTAACTGATCCTACAGGCAGCTTTGCAAGCATGAGCTAAGGGATGGGTGCAGGTCTGTCCTGGGGAAATTTTCTGGGCCTCGCATTGGGTCTTGCCTTAATTCTGAATTCCCAGCTTGAATTGAAATTAAATTACCTCCCACGGACCTGAATGCTGCGTAAATTATGTATGTGTGTGTTTTCCTATGTATGAATACATATATATATATATAGTGTGAGCACACTGGCACACACACCACACATACAACTTCAGGCTCCCTGTGATGTGCGGAGCGAAAGGGATTGGGAAGACTCGGGGACCATCGCCTATCCCAGATGTTCGCACATCTGGCCCTGAGCTGCGTGGAGCATGAGTACGTGTGTGTGTACCACCCCCCCTGGGACCCACTCCTGCTCTGCCACCTGCCTCCCGCGCTCTCTGCAGAGCCCCCTCCCATCCCAATCCCTGGTCTCGCTGCGTCACTTCCAGAGAAGCTCTAAAGCGCGGAGTGCAAAGCAGGTCTGCCCACTAAAAGCCGGTGGGCAGCCTCGGACCCGAGGTGGGACCCGCCCAGAGTAAATATTATCCGGCTCCCCGAAAAGGTGATCCATAGCCGATCACCGTTTCAATCGAGCAACTGATTGGTACCCGGAGACCTAACCCGGGTGGCTAAGGGCGAGGCCAAGCTAGACCTCTGACTCACCCTATGTGCGCCCGCCAGGAGGTGGGTTGGTCCCGGCACTACGGCGGCAGCGGGAACCTATTCCGAGAAGGAAGCCAGGAAAGAAGGTGGCGGGCACACGTGGGGGCAACTGAGCAAATACTGGGGCGGTCCCTGGCAGCTGGAAGGCTATGTGGGCACCGTGCATCCGGCTCCCAGGCGCGTAGCCTCCAGCCAGGGGCTGGCTAACTCTGGGTAGCTGGGCTGGACCGGCTCGGAGCGCCCCCTCCTGCCCCCCACGCTGCACTAGGCAATGCAAGCTCGCCGCAGCCCCGGGAGAACTGGCTTGTAGAGGCTGAGGGCCTGAGACCGAAAGATCCCCGCTCTAACCAGGCCGGGCAGCAGGAAGCTGGGGTGGGATTGCAGCACCGAGGGCGGAGAGAGGCGGGAAGCAGCCAGGCTCGCAGGAATGCGCGCAACTTGCACAGCCTGCGGGAACACAGTGCGGCTAGCGCCCGCCTGAGCGTAAGAACAGGTGAAGAGCACGCGGCTCGGGCATCCACGTGGCCGAGACGTGGGCGCCCCACAGCGCTCCCAACTCCCTCCCCAACCCCTACTACCATCCCCCAGAGCCGTCCCTACCGCCGCATCGATTTGTTTGGGCTACGCAGCAGAAACAGAGCTCAGCAATCCATAAACATTCTATTAGGCAAAAAAAAATATTTCCAGCAAAAGCAGAACCAAGGCTACAGCCTCTACTAAGTTAGCCACCTAGAACTTCTCCAAACCAGTCCCCTCCTCCTCCAGACTAAGGGCACCCCCGGGTAGAAGCCTGCCGCAATTCCCTGGTGGTGCCCAATGCCAGAAAGTTAGGTCGTGGCTGCGGCTGTTGTCCAGAGCGGCCACTGCAGTTGCCTGCTGGCGGATTACGTCCCCCTCCTCCCTTCCTGGCTGCCCGTGTCCACGTGAAGAAAAAAAAAAAAAAACAAAAAACGGTGTTCACGACCGATGCTTTAGTTTTCCTGATTGATTTCTTTTTAATATCAACACAAGTTAATGGAGGCGAGGCGCGCTGTGATTAAACGGCTGCCCCCCCCCCCCAGCCCTTCGCCTCGGGCTGGCGGCGTCGTTAGTGTGTCCCACCAGACCCTTGGCACCATCAGGACAAGTCGACCGACTGTCCTAAGGTGTGTGGAGGGGGCGTGGAACGGATTGGGCAACACTCTGGGGATCTCCGGGGGGGCTGGGGGCACTGGAATCAGCTTTCCAGGTCACTTAACCGATCCTCCCACCCTTGCGGCAGCTTCTGCGGCTCCGGTTGAATTTCTTCTGGAAGGGAAGGGAGTGGACGCCCCGGTTTATTGGCGTGGACTCCCTGCTTGGCTCGCTCCCTCTGCCTCCCTTCGTTTCAGTTTCTGACAGAGAGGAGAGCCCCCTGGCGCTAGCCTTCCCCAGCAGCGCCGGGAGACGAAACTGCTGTGTTAGAATGGATCCGCTGGGGCTTGCATTCTACCCAAGAAATAGCTCAGTTCCTGCTGTTGGTCTTTCAGAAGGTGGCAACTCCCAGGCTTAATGTCTACGCCCCCCTCCCCCGGCCCCACGAGACTCATGGCTTGGGGCCAAAAGAAGCCAGACCCCATAACCATCTCCCTCTTTCTTCTTACTCCCGAAGAGCTTTGATCTGTGGTGGCCTTTAACAGCATTGCCATGGACACGGGCTGACTCGGTCAATTCAACCTTCAGTCTGAGCTGGGTGATCAGATAAGAGGTGTAAATTGGCTGTGGGAGACAGGTCCGAGTTCAAACAAATCCACTAAGAGAAGCAGTGATAGTCCAGGGGCTTGATATGGGGATATGATTAATGTTTTAGACTGTTTCCCCCAAAATGTGCCATGGCCATGGATGTATATAATCATTTACAAGTAAAACAGTAAACTCCTGGATTCGGAACAGACAGCCTACTGAGAGCTCTGGTGACTGATCTCCTGCCCTCATTAAATAAGTGCCCAGTCACCTTTTCCCCAGAAGCAAGCACTGGAGGTGGTGAGGCTGTAACCATTTGCCAACTGAGTACACAGTATAAAACAGAGGAGAGCGCCCCACGGGGCTTCAAGACAGGCCCTTACTTGTCCAGGATGCACCAGGTAGAATAGCGAGTGCCCAGCAGCACCTCCAGTGTGAGGTTTTATGTCATCCCAAGGAGCCCTCAGAGCACTCAACTGGCAAAGTGTGAGATTGGAAAGCTGCAGGGACTGGAGGCTGGGCTCTCCCAACAGGACCCCTGCTGTCTACCAAATGGCTCCAGCCCCCTGCTGTTCAGTGGATAGTAGGCGGCATTCATCAGGTTCTACCTTCTAGGTATAGGAAAAGTGAAGAGTGCAAACAGCAGTTCCTATGCAATGAGGCATGAATGCAAGCAATAGTTATCATCGGGGCGAGGGAGGCAGTGGGGGAAAGAAGCTGAGGTCCCAGGTGTTTTTCATCTCATTCAACTCTTCATTAAAGCAATTTAAAAAGTGAACTGAGAAAGTGTGGAACGTTTCTGAGTTGACAAAATTCAAGAGCCAGGCTTATTGGCAGTTTTCAGAACATGTTCCCCCAAAGATCCAGTTTGGAAAGATATGAAGGTGAGGTTTTTCCTTTATAGAAAGCACGAAGCCTGCGGAATAAAATGGAAGGGGCATTGTCTCTGATCAGCCCCTTCCCCAGCCAGCAAATGAGGCCAAATCCAATTGGAATCCCTTGTGCTAAATCTTGGCCATGTTATCCAACTGAAGCCTGAACTAGGCCAATTTAAAAATAAAAACAAACCAGTAGGGCCACAGCAACCAATGAGAAGGCGACTTTGTCACCTGAATCAGTTGCGTTTGAAGTTCCCTTTACCTTAACCAGGTAAGGAAAGTAACTTGGACCTGGCCAGTCCTATTTCCTTAGCCCTCTTCTCTATAAAAGACCCCCACCCCCTCTTAGTTGATGGGAGGCTTGTTCCTTCTATAAAATGACAAGTTGCCAGATTGTGAATCAAATAGAAAAGCCAA